CTGAACTGGGCTAATGAAGATGGGCATACGCCATACATTGTGCTATGACTGTATGAGGGAAATTTTGCCCGGACAGCAGCACTACGGCCTACTCACATATTGAATTCCAACTGTCAAGGGATCTTTTAAGTGCATACCAATGTGTACACGGGACCTTGTTTTTTCTGTCCAATCCAAATGACTAGACAGCTGTCCTTGTCAGGCCCTCCTCTCAATGACAGACCTTATGATATAAAGTACACACAACTGACCACTTGACCACCCAACCCCTGTACATAAGGATAAGGACTGAATGTTCTATTATGGTGTTCAATGATGCATGTATAAATACATACATGTAGTTTGTTATTACTGGTAACCTTTATTAGTTTACAGTTTATAGATAGGCCAATAAACAAATATTATTCTACAATATAATCCCCTAATAGATAATATTATGTAATTTACAATATAAGGTGGAGAAGGCTTAACATTCAATTAAAATACCTCGTATTTTACACAATAACCACCTAAGCTAAAATGATCTTAAACAGAAACTCTTTAACTTAAATCAAAATAAAATATTGAATTGGGTTCGTCTGATGTGTTATTTCAATAAATAATTGCGGGTGGGTGGATTCTTATTACGATTAATTGTTTGTTTCGTAAGTCTATTTTTTGATTAATTATAGTTTCATTTCAATAAATGATAGAGGGGTTTTGTAAGCCTGTTTTTTGATTAATCATAGTTTCATTTTTGACTTTATGTGTGGGACAGTGAAACTAGACACAATTGGTTATACAATGTACCACTATGTTGCATGTATTGTACCTTTTTAAGAGTAAATCCCCTTCTACTGTAGAGGAAATGTAAACATGTATCGTAACAATGGTGTGTAAATCTTTGTGTATGTAATATTTCAAAATAAAGGAACAATCACAGATTTCACAAGACACTGTAAAAATAAAACTGGGTTTACCTATGTACATATAAATGCCAAAATGTGATGCTATTTATCTAAGTGTGAAAATGTCAAATCAAGAGTCTTTCACCTCAAATTAACCAGTTTTATTCAATAAAATATATCTTACTACATGTATTATCCTTTAAAATTACCTAAATTTTATATATTTCTGTATGTTTATCTATCTAACTATGAAAAATAATAAGCCATTCAAATTATTCATTTACCGTAACAAAATTTAAAATATGCATACTATGTACATTGACGGATTGGGCAATTGGGACTGGCTTCACCAGTCGTTATTCATATACTAGTCTGACTAGTCAGTTGCCTGTATTATCGAGCATAATTTTTAACGAAAAAGAAAAGAAATTTATTCTTTTGAAATATGAACAGATACTGATTTTGTGGTACATGTAGTACAAATGCTTGGCTTACGTTTCATAATAAATATTTCTATTAATTACATGTATGTTTGAAGTTATTACTGTGTATTACAAATGCTTGTCTTGTCTACCTATATGTAAGACATGTATACAATCTAAAGGCATTTGATAATTTATGAATAAAAGGACATGGTCTGTAATACTGAAAATTGAACATTTACAAAAGGATACGTAAATTTGATCTTTTTTATATCTTGTCTTGAGATTAATATTGATTCCAGTTTCATCAATGTCACTGATGATAATCATATCTCGTACTCCATCTTCTGGTCGACAGCCTGATAAAATAATAAAATAATTTATCAAAAATCATAAACTTGGGGTGGGACCATGGGGGTATCCGGTATTTTCCTTACCGGTACGGGTACTGGATTGGGTATGGGCTTTTCATTAGGACAGCCCCCTCCTATAAGTATAATTAACAAGATATTTCAAAGTGATCAAGGGCCATAACTTTGGCAATAGGCTTCTTCGTCTCACGACTTTAAACACTGCGTATAAATTTGAAGTCAATCAAATATCAACTTTAGCCTCTAGAGCGTCCTCAAACAATTATGGACGTCGGGCGGCCAGACGGGGGCGGCGACAATATTGGCGTCTAAAAACCCCAAATGATGCATGAAAGATATAACTTGGTGTTTTTGGCAACCTTGGTGAATGCATAGTCCTAACCACTGTCATTTTCTGAATCCATCACGTTATGTAAACATTTAAAATTTTAAAATATTTGAAGATTCCATGCAATCATCTTGATAATGTTACACCCCTCACTCTTTCCAATTCCCGATTTTCTACAGAGAGAGAGAGATAAATGGGGTTTCATATCCACTTGACACAAACTAGGTTATTTTTGGGACTAACCTATGGTTTCATTTTATTTCAATAATTCGCTTGCATGTAGTGGGGAAATTTTCTACATCGGTAAAAACCAGAGTCTGGTTATTCCAATAGATAAAAAAATATCTATACATTGAATGAATGTGCACATGACCAAGATATTCGTACAAGATATTGGTCGATGATAGGTTTTTCTTAAGGTGAATTATGCTCATCTATAAGCAGTGTAAGTCCTTTCTAACTATTTGCACTCAGTTTAAATATAGTTAAAACAAATTTGTATAAGAATAAAAACTATTTCAAATTGTGAAAAATGTCTTAAAATATGACAACAATTGACAGGCTGACACAGGTTTTGTTTGTCTTTTAAACAAACTTTATGAAATGAAATGGGGTTTTTAACATGCTACTTTTCTGCACCAACTGGGCGAAGATTGGCATGACATACAGTGAGCTATGAGTGATTTTGCCTGGACAGCCATACTCACTCATACTGTCAAGGATTCTGTTACAATGTGTGCCAAAGTGTACATAACAGTGCACATGACCTTCATTTTTTGTCCCATCTGAATGACAAGACACATGCATCCTTGTCAAGTCCAGATATTATACAGTTAAATTAATATCCATGTTCAACTATTATTATGATAAAAAGGTAATTAATGACAAAATATTATCTCAGGTTGCACATATATATATATATAGACTTAAAATTAATGCTTGAAATCTGGAGTGGATATTCGACAATTGGGTGGCAAATAAACCTAAATTTCAAAAGAACTGACTACCGGTATAAGAAATATGATTACACATACCGTATAGGCCAATAATATGTGAAACTGAAATGAAATGTGGTTTAACAAATAACGTCCTACTGTTCTGACATGTGAAACCATCATTTAGAATTTTATATTGTTTTTGAGCAGATCATTAGAATCCTTCCACCCCTCACATTAAATGTAGCATATATATATTGCACTTGAAACAAACTAGGGTTAGGGAGGTGGCTAGTTTGAGATTCTGAACTTGAGCATATAAACTTATTGATTATTGGTGACTGAAACCTTCATGATTCAGATGATGAATCAAATCAAATTCTACATTGTATTAATTGTTGAAATATTGAATCTGAGTATGGTACAGGTAAATCAATGTGCACTGTCAACCAACTTTCTACACAATCTTTTTCAATTGATCATTGACACAAAAATATTAAAAATAAAAGTTCCTAAACTCAATTTTATTAAAATATTGATGTCACTGAATGCTGTTGTTGTATTGTAGTTTTTTGTTTATCTTTCAAAATGATTATTTTATTCAATTTGTAGATCTATGGAAAGATATTCTTTTTAGTTTATTTGATCTTGATAAAGAATATCACATCTCTGATATTTTGAATACGGATAACGGCTTTGTCCCGTGTCGTGATTTCACTGCATATTATGATTATAAATGGCAACACGCTTATAAACAAAGACACGCGCAAGCCGTGAAATATAAAATAACGGGTTCGCAAAATTAACATAATTTACAAAAAGAAAAGTCACGTTGACTCTTTAAAATAAAAAGACTGAGAGAGATAATTTTCTCACCGCTGGCCGACAGCTCCAGCTTTGGAGTAACTGAAGCCATGTCTTCAACAGTAATCCCAATCCGTACACAGTTCACATCGAACCAACACACAATATATCCGAACTATCCAACTATGAAAGCATTGACTGAATCTGTCTGACTCACAGCATCAATGCTTTCAACTTGCCGCGCCACTCCCACAAACCATCGCATAAATATTACCCAGACGCTTATTCCCGCTATAATGCTTTCCCATCCCATGAAAGGCGTGACAAGCATGACTCTTCACGCGTATTTATATAGTCTCTGTTAACAGGACTGAAAAATTAATTCGTTTCTTCGTTAAAGGTTACAAAATGTCTGGAATGTCAAAGACTTGTTTGTCTGGAAATTAATGTTCACCTTTGGTTGTCGTAAAGAAAACTTAAAACGCACAATAGCTTTTATATCGGTATTCAAAAAAAGAATATAGCTAATAAATCAAATGTGCGACGAAACTATCGAAAATTTATCCATGGAAATGCTAAAATTGTAAATAAACACGTGGTTAAGACCAAAATATTCCATAGATATTTAGATGTCGTAAATTCACGCGTGCGCATCATAGAAGCACCGGAGACATATCCGGACAAAAATAGTTGCAGATGATTTTACTGTTTTTAATGTCAAATTAAGCAAGGAAAATGGCTTATATGCCTGGTCGCGGTCGCTCGAGGGGTAGGGGAGGACCCCCTCCGATGTATGGAAACAGAGGTTTCCCTCCCGGACCAAATGGTGGAATGCGAAATCAACCGAATATGAATCAACCTCCGACGAATTATTATGCAGGCGATTTCGATCGACGACAGGATGAGAGACGACGGTCACCGCCGTCTCAGTTCCAAGACAGGAAGAGACACGGATCTCCTCAAAGACTTTCACCACCGCACAAAAGACCCGTTTACGATTCTAGAGTATGATAAATTCTCAATGATTATAAGAAATGTTTATTAAAATTTCTTACATCACCTTTTTTGCTGTTAGTACAGCACTGTACTCAGTACTAAGCTTGATGCAATGCTTTTGTCACTTGTCTCTGTGACAAATTTTGTATTGATGGGACAAGCTCTTGATTAGATCTAATTGTAGCAGGACCCTGGTGCATTGAATAACTAATGGACAAGAGTCTTGATGCTTTTTTTTTTTTTTTTTTGGTTGGACTTCCAAGGAACCCCATCCAAGAACAAAAAGGACTGCCAGAGCACTAGGCCTAGGCTTTATTAAAATGCAGCGGCTCTAATCAAATCTTGATGTGGGTGTAGAAAAAGCCATGGGGATTTTTTATGCCAAGGGTGGTGACCACAGGGTTGACAAGGAAAGTGGTACTTAGTTGAGATCTATGTGTGCAAAAGAACCTTTGACAGTTAGAGAAGAATATATGTGAATGGAGTTGTTCAGACAAAATTTACCTTCCTCATATTAATTGCACACATACCTATAGGAATAAACTTGGCATGTTACAATTTTATTCCTATGGGGTATGTGCGAATGTTTGTCTCAAATAACCAAAGTATTGTGTTAGCGAAGCGTAAAAACCTGTTCCATTCTAAGATATTTTCCCATTCAAAGGTACATGTACCTGTCAGTTCTAAGAGGTTTTATTTATTTATTGCATATGATCTTGTAAATTGTCAATGAAATTATGATATTAATTGAAATGTTCGAAATACCTTATTGAAATAAATACAATTTACTTAACACTGTTACGTAATAATGATAAATGTTTTTGGGTGTTGGGATGGTAACCATGAGGGTTCTCAAAGGGAAAGCTATAGTCATTAAATGCTACGTAATCTACCAATCATGCCATTTGGAAAATCACATATTTAAGTCTAATAGTTTTGCATTTAATGCTGGGCAATACTATTAGCAATGATTGTGCTGCTTCGCCTTTGGGCTACTCCACTCCCTGGAATGTTACTGTGTAACACCTCAAAATAATCATTTCTAAGTCAAAATTTTTAATTCCTAAATGATATTGCTCCTACAATACTTATGAGATTTCAATGGTTTCAAATACTACAGTAGTAAAAAAAAAAAAATCATCTTCAGTAACTTTTCAAAACAAAAATGAATTTGTTTTTTTACGTAAAAATTTTCTTGACTTGGTGAATCGTGAATTGAAATTCTGGATAGCCGTACTTGTGCCTTTAGTTTGAATTAGAAACTACAGGGCTTTTAGTTTAAAATTTGGCCAGACACCAGAATCAGTTTGGCGCTCATGTTGCATGTGTAATGATGAACAAGTGTTAAGAATTTATGTGGTTTATTTAAAAGGTTGAAGATATTGGACAGAAATCACTCCAGATCTTAACTGTTAGACATTTTGATTGTTGGACATTTTGATATGTGTAACAGCTAAAACATGTACATGTAATCAATTTTAAATGCCTGTCCAACATTTGACATTAACTAACAAAAAGGGATCACAACAAAATTGTCCTCAGTTAAAATACTAGTGTGGACCCGGAAAAACCATCAGGATTTTTCAAATTGGGTTTGGATGGTGGTAAGCCCATAATATAATTTGGTAATGAATAGGTGCAAATGCCACTTTCTGGACAAAATTCTCTTTGCTAGCGCATTGAACATTGTAATCATAGAAATAAAAAAATTATTGATGTTATTCTCAAAAATCATCAAAGTAAAATGTCCACAAGAAATTGAATGTTCCATTCCATTCCAAACACCATCTTGGTAAGTGCTGGGGGATTTTTGGTTTTGTAATTCAGTTGTTATCTTTATATCTTGATGAAAAATTCATGATGAAATCTTTAAAAAATATGATTTGATTATTAATGACTTTTCATACTAAAATTAAAGGTCAATGAATCGCACAGACAGGACAGAGACAGATATGGTAGTGCCTATGACAACAGAGGGCCCCCAGGTCCTGGACCAAATGAGGACAACCGACCTGGTAATGATTCAAGAGACATTAGGAGTCCAATGAATGATCAACAGAATCGCATGGAGGAAAGCAGCGTTATGAAATCAAGATCAAGTGGACAACCTCCACTATTCCCAAGTTCCCTGTCAACAACACCTTCTGCAACACCCCCACAAGCAAGACCCCTGAAATCTATTTTGAAGAAGAAGCCTACTGCATCTGAATCTTCAAATGAACCTCCAAAGCAAGAAGAAAGGTTCCAGGAAACACTTTCAGAGAGACAACCGGAAAGAGTGCAAGAAAGGTCTCAAGAAAGATTACCAGAAAGGTCTCAAGAAAGATTACCAGAAAGGTCTCAAGAAATCCCCCAGAGATACGACAGAAGCCAAGGTCCAGACAAATTGCATTTACCTGGAATGTCCACTTATATGGATGTTGAAGATGAAGAAAAGTTCTTGTATGGTGATGAAGCAGGTACACGTCATAGCAGGTCTTCTAGAGATCGAAACACCTCCTCTGATAGAAGAAACTCAAACGACCCAAGTGGAATGTGGATGCATCCCAGTGATCGAGGAATGCCACATCGTACTCAGATGCAAGCCCAAAATCAAAGCTATGGTGAGAAAGTTCAAGGTGTTTTGGGTATGAACACTCAAGGGGGTATAACAGCCCTCAGTGATGAATCTATGTCCACTATTCAAGCTGCATTAGCATCTTTAAAGCAAACATCTGTAGCCCAGCCCAGACATCCTCAAGAAATACAGTCAAGACCACCAGTAGATGTCCTATCAGCACTACCCAGAATTTCATCTGATCTTTTATCTGGAATTGGTAAACTTCCTACAAGTCTTTTTTCTCCCACAGGGAATTTGGCGTCTGACAGAACACCATCTGATCTGTTATCAAGTCTTGGAAGACAAGGCAGTGATTTGTTGTCCAGCCTCAGCAGACCCTCAATATCTGAACAAAGAAGTCAATCAGGCAGATCATCCATTGATGTTCCACGTTCTACAAGTCAAAATATTGATTTCATGAACAGATTGTCCAAACCAGAGCCTGATCCTCCAGAAGAACCCAAAAAGGATGAAACCACTAACACAATTCAGAACATCTTACAGTCCATAGGTTTTGATTTTGGAATGTCCAAGAGAATGCAAGAACTAGCAAAGGAAAAACAGGACAGAGAAAATAAAACTAAAGAGAAAGATATATGTATAAATCAGACAGCTTCATTTTTAGGTGGAGGACTCTCAGATGAAGACCTTACTGCTGGATTATTCAAGCGCAAGGAATCTACAGTACGACCGAAAGTTGAAACATCAGACAAGAAGAAGAGTGATGAGCATTCAGATAGAAGAGGAAGTGGGCAAAAAATAGAAAGTTTTATAAGTTCTGAGAGATCTAGTGTGATTAGTGAATCTCTTCCATTACCTACGCCTGGTACATATCCTCCACACCCAGTTGGAGCTGATCCTTATGCTCAGTATCTTGCACCACCAAACATGAATTATCCACCACCGTCACTCCCCCAGCCAGGCTGCCCTGTATATCCTCCACCATTTTATGGCGGTGATGTACCTCCTGCAAACATGCCCTTTGAAAACCCTAATATAATGGGCTTTACAGGAAGGCACCCTGATGATGATTTTCTGTACAATGAACGATTAAGATCAAGAAGTAGATCAGCTTCACGAGATATGGGTAATAGAAGGATTTCAAGGGAAAGAAGTCCTGGAAGAAGGGATTCAAGGGACAGCAGTCCCGGAAGAAGGGATTCATTTGAAAAAAGTTCCAGAATAAGAGATTCATTTGAAAGAAATGCTGGTAGACGGGATTCATTTGAAAGAAGTCCCAGAAGAAGAGATTCATTTGAAAGAAGTCCCAGAAGAAGAGATTCATTTGAAAGAAGTCCTAGAAGAAAAGATTCATTTGAAAGAAGTCCTAGAAGAAGAAGCTCTGTAGATAGAGGTCAAAAGAGAAGAAGCTCAAGAAGTCCTAGGCGTAAGAATTCCAGAGAAAGAAGTCCGAGAAGAAGAAGCTCAAAAAGTCCTAGAAGAAGGGGTTCATCTCAGGAAAAAAGTAGCAGTAGTAGGAAAAGAAGCCCAAGAAGAAATTCAAGAAGTCCTAAAAGAAATTCAAGAAGTCCTAAAAGAAATTCAAGAAGAGATAGTTCAAGAGATAGAAGATCTTCTAGAGAAAGAAGTGTGAGGGAGGGATCTGCAAGAGAAATAACATTAACTTCAAGATTGGATAATTCACGAAGTTCACATAGAAATGGTTCTGTAACAAAAGATCAATGGGATAAAGCAAAGTTAATGGATACTAGGGAATCTTCAAGTAAACTGGATGACCGATTAAATGAACCTAAAATTCCAGAGGACTTCAAAATCCAAATAGGAGCAAATCCAGACTCAAGAAGAGTTCTTACAACCTCCAAAATTGTGGAAGAATTCAGAGAACAATCACCCGAACCAGCCAGAATAGTTCTCATGCCAAAAATTGATCACATCCGCAAAATTACAGTAGCACCGATTGTAAAACCTGAAGAACCACCACCACCTGCAGAGATACCGCCTCACATAAAAGCAAGATTAAAACAAGATCATGAAGAAAGACAAAAGAAATTGGAGATTCTAGAAAAGGAAATGGATAAATTGAGGAAACAACAAAATGAAATCATGAGAAAGCGCCAGAGACAGAAAGATGGTCATAAAGATCCCTTGCTCACAGCAAACAGTAAACTGCAAGAAGAAATAGCTGAACAGATAAAAGCTCTCCGAAAGGCAAGCGAGGAACCAGTCGACTTGAGCAAATTTGAAAATGAAGAAGATAGTAAACAAGAACCCCAGAAACAAGAGGTAAATAGGGCCTTATTATTACATTTGTGTTGTGATACACGTTTATTTAGTGAAACCATTATCTTTTTGGAAGAAATGCCGACACCAAATTTTACCAAATCATGACTGAATTTCAGTGATATAAAAGTCTTATAATTAACAGTCTCAAGAAGGTTTGTCTGTCCAACTAAAGGCCCCTTTATTCAAGCCGATTATTGAAATAAAATGTTAAACATACATTATACAAGAGCTAAATCAACCTATTGCAGGTCTTTCTTTAGGCCTGAAATGTTATATGAACTATTAATTAGACGTTTATTAACATGAAAAGACCATAATCAACTCTGAATGCCATCTTATGTGTCCATTTTTCATTGGATTTAAATCCAATCTGCCCATTGATGAGTAACTGCAAAAATGGATAATTATCGCGACAGCAGTAACAATGACAATCGAGACTACAGTGATTTTAAAGTAAGGTTTTCTCAGTTTAGAGTGAAACAATTTAACTGAAATTTTCAGCATATTCCCTTTGCATTATCTAATTTTTAACTATTATAGTCAGAACTGCCAGTTCTTTATCTGATCTTGCATAATGTATCTGTAAACGTTAAAACCCATTTCTCTCTCTTTATTGCCATAAACATAACATTCGTTTTTGGAAATTGAGTATTCTTTCTTTGATTCCTGTATATTATATCTGTATTTCAGTGACGTATATTTAATATGGTATGTTGTAAATATTCTATTTTACAGTCACCGAAAAGTTCTGTACGATATAAATTCAAAGATCCAGGTCAGCATTGGTGTCGATGTTGTAATATGGTCATGAATTACGCTGTTGAATACTGTAAACATTTAAAAAGCAAAACACATTTGCAGGTATGCTTACTTTTTCTAGAACACATGTTAACCACTTTAAACTTTTGTAGTATTGTGCGATGAAACCTATGATGAAGAAGTACCATAGACATTCTTCATAATAGTTCCAAGTGTTATGGGGAGAGAGGGTAGTCAAGTAGTACTGACTCAAGCCTGGGACATTCTGGTCAGGAGACCTGTGCCCCTAGCCTCCTCGTTTTTGAGGAGCCAGCTGCTTACTCATGGAAACCCAGAGTTTGTCAAAATAGACATCATATTTATTGGAAAAATGTACTCTTGGTTTTATTTTCAGAAAGCAGATCCATATGACAGACCGTGGCACTTACATAGTATGACCAAGAAGCAGGAATCAACAAAAGGACCCGTTCAGAATTTACCCATGACAGGTTTTTATAACAATCTTAAATATATTGAACCCCGTTTAATTGATTCAATGAAAATTGTAATTTTTTGCGCGTTTGATGCTTTCTTGAAATGCCCCTACGCACAAGTGAATTATTGAAATAAAATTGAACCATATGTTAGTCCCAAAATGACCTGGTTTGTGTCAAGTGCATGTTAAACCCCATTTCTCTTTCTCTTTCTATCACATTATTGCAATGATTTCCTTTTTCCTGTTCAAAAACTAGGTGGTTATATCTTACCAAAGTCCAAGAATATGGTTCTTGGTGTTTAAACAGTAGCAGCATGCGGATGGGGAGGTATAGACAGTGTCAAAAAATGCTGTTCTGGAGATGTTTGGTTCCCCCCCTCCCCCTTCCCTCAAACTCTATATTTTTGATGGTATATCGATGGTCATTGAAATTTTATATTCTTGGAATTATTATTAATATCTGTTTTCAACTTGTTATTAATAGGAACTGAATTTATGATGAGTGTTGATGCATTCTATTGTTCACTGTGTAATGAATACATGGGTGACGTGACGTCGGCAGAGGCTCATCTCAATGAACATTCTCATTTTCTAAAATATAAGGTGAGTTTTATCAAAAATGGGTATAACTCTTTATTATATGTGGGGGGGGGGGGGGGTGGATGGCCGAATGCTTAGCATGTGCGCACGGTATCACAAGGCCTGTCATTTCAAATGCCCGGTTGTACGTGACAAGGAGAAGGGTTGCTGTATCATAAAGTCTGTCATTGAGTCGACTGGCGTGGTTTCGAATCCCCGGTTGTACGTGACAAGGAGTATGGTCGCCTGTCCAACCTCGTGGGTTTTCTCCGGGTCCTCCGGTTTTCCCCCACTACTAAAAACCCCTACGAGCAAGCTCTTTCTCTCTTTATTATATTAGGTGCAGAAAGAATAAGAAGGATTCCACTTATTTATATAATTCAGAATGGACAATATTTTACTGTTCTACACCTTGAAGTACTGGTCACCAACCATTTTATTTTTTACCCTGTGCACCCCTATACCATGGCATGTACATTAAAGAAACCCTGGCGGTTAGAATTCGAAATAAGATTAAGCCATAATGATGATGTCCTGGCAAAACATCCCTCATAATGCAGGTTAAGGCAGAAATGGAGAACAATAAACCCCATTTCTTATTCATACAGGAGACATAGTGGCTTGGTCGGTATGTCACTTGCTCACTAATCAGGAGGACACATAGATGGCTGTGAAAGTTTCTCAGGATTTGGGGGGCCACGTTGATTAGGCGGGTAAGATGTTAGCTCACTAACCTGGAGGTCGGGTGTTCGATCCCTGCATTGGACTGAGGAAGTTCACCCAGATTTTCCGGCATGGTTCCCCCTTGTTAGTGGTACAGAACAGAGGGCCTGGCAAGAGACATTGTATAGTCGTTCGGATGGTAAGAAAATATGCAGTCCCGTGTACACATTGGCGTGCATGTAAAAGATCCCATGGCAGTTGGAATTCAATATAAGAGTAGGCCGCAGTGTCGCTGTCCGTGCAAAATTCCCCAAATAGCACACTGTATGGCGTATGCCCGTCTTTATTAGTCCGGTCGGGATCAGAATAGATTAAACCCCATTTCATTTCACTTCATTTCATTTCCTTAGAATTTCCAAGGGAGATTCCTGATGGGCAACACATTGAAGATCCACTAACAGTTGGAAGAAAAAGCTGTGGGGCCACTGTGCAGGCAAAAAATATCCGCCTATGCCTGTCTTCATTAACCAGGTTAATGCTGAAAAGTATAACATAAGCCCATTTTCATTTTATTTCTTTTTTTATTTTTTAAATCCATACCTTTTTTTTTCAGGCTTACTTGAAGAAGAACCCATTTTATGAGAAGCGCTATATGTTGGAGAAGAAAGCGAAGTTGGCTATGATTAAAGAAGAGAAAGACAAAGCACACAAGAAGGAGATGGAAAGCAGGAAAAAATTAAACAAAGAAAAAGATGCTAAAATAAGAGAAAGAGAGAAAAAATGGGATAAGCCAGTAGCTGACCTTTCAGATGATCGCAAAACACCTGTAACCCCAAAAAGTGAAATGTCAGATATCAAGTTGAAGTTGGCACAAGCTAGAGAGGAAGTTCAGCTGAGATTAGCCCAAAAAAAGCGAGAGGATGAACAAAAATTGAAGGAAGAAGAAGAAGTGAAAAATAAGGGTTTATTTAAATGGAAAAAAGATGGAAAGGCTTTGGTGAATAAACCAGCTACTTTGGGTCAAGAAGACGATGAACCTGTTCCAGAAGAACCACCTGTTCCCACAAAAAAATTATTTTTACCAGATGCCTCAGAATCCCATTTCCCCATTCCGGGAGAATCCAAGAAACCGAAGATATCGGTCAAGGCAAATTATCGTAATAACAAAAACGAGAAAAAAGAGGTGATTGCTAAAGAGGAGAAAGAAGATAAGCGTACAATCATTCCAACAGTCATTGGTCGTAAAACTAGATCAAGTGGTAAAAATACAGTTTTACCATCATGGACACCAGCAACAAGAAAAATTCCTGGTCAGAAAGATGTTCGTAAGATGCCACCGCAACCCCAATCTCAACAACAGTCAAAGTCAGAAGCCGAAAATCCAGTTCCTCTTGATCTGTTTCTTAGTGTTGGCAATGAAACTAATAAAAAAGCTTTGCCGGTTGTTCCTGATGTTAGTTTACAAACCATCCCTTTACCACCTTCAACGGAAAAACTTGTATCTTCTGTGAAAACTGAAGAAGATGCAAAAGAACGACCAGTTATTACAGTGAAAACAGAGGAAGAGTCAAAGAAAGCTGAACAAGATTCATTGGAAAAGTCTGTTGTTAACATCCAAACTCAGCAAGATACAAAGGATGCTCCTGTTATTACTGTGAAAACTGAACAAGAAATGAAAGAAGAACAAGAGGATTTCAAGATACTTGGTATTGATCCTGCATCAACAACACCCTTGGTCACTCCAAAGCCACCACCGCCTGTATCTCAGAATTTGCATTTGCCTTCATCCAAGGAAGCCTTACAAAACATGTCTGCAGCTACAGCTGAGAAAATGTATGGAATATATTTTGAAAATAAAGACTCTGATAATGTTACTAGTTCTGTTCCAACAAAACCTGTGAATTCTCAAGAAGTTGCTTCGAATGTTGTACCCTGTGAAACAACAGACGATAAAATGGAGGTTGATGTTGCTAGTCAAAATGTTTCTGGTGTTGCAGAAGGTGCTACTGCACCATTGACTGAAACTCCCAAAGAAAAGGATAGTCCAGTGATAACTGATACTACTTCTAAAACTACAGAAACAGTAGCAGTTTTAGATTCTTCGGATGCAAAAACTGACAAACAAGTGTCCGAAAAGCTAGAAGTTGCAGTTGCTGAACCAATGGAGTGTTCACCAGTAGACCAGGCTCCAAGCACGTTACCTTTGGATACTTTAGTGCCAGAAACAAAGACTTTGGAAACTGTTGAACCTGCAGAAAGTACCAACATTGTAGATTGTGGACCTGTAAAATCTGTCCCTGTAAAATCTGTCTCTGAAAAATCTGTCCCTGTAAAATCTGTCTCTGAAAAATCTGTCCCTGTAAAATCTGTCCCTGAAAAAACTTCAACATCTCAAGACAGCGGAGCCAAGGAAAATGATTCACCAGAGTCTCAAATCAGTTCTTTTTCTACCAAACAGGACACAAAAACACCTGAAGAAACAGAACCGAAGATGGAGTCTGAGGTGAAAGAAACAATAATAGTTGCAGAAAGTTCAAAACAGGAATGTCTAGTTTCTACTGAAAACGAGAAAAGTGAGCCATTAAAAGATGCAGTTGAGTTACCAGCACAAGATTTGGTACAAGATCATCGTATAACAATATCTATAAATGAAGATCATGAAAATCCAGAAGAAAATGTTGATGGTCAGAATGACCTGGATGGTTTTACTGTTATTGATACTGCTGAGATAGATGACCATAACACTGTTCCAGCATTAAAAGAGATGGATTTAAGAAGAAACAGTGCTGAACAGAACAGCAGTGATAGTAACCAAGCTATCCCCTGCTTGGATGACATGAATGTTATAGATTGTGCAGATCCTGGACAGGACAGCAATGAAAATCAACCTATTCCAGCACTGGAGGAGATGACTGTAATAGACTGTGCAGATCAGGAACATAACAGCAATGACCAAAAAGATTTAACAATTGTAAACATAGCTGAGAATCCTTTGATGGGTGCAGAAGAGGACAATGGAAATAATGGACCAGATCTCATTTCATCATTGGCTGGTGTGATGGAACCCAAAACGGCCCAGGAGGAAGATGACAGTTCAAATAGTACAATTATCATGGAGAATATACCAGGAGAAGTAGCTGATGTCAGCACGCTGAATGAAGTAGCCATAAATGAAAGTATTTCTGTTTCAGGGGGTGGTGGGGAAATTGTAGCGTTAACTGTTTCAATGATTGAGAATTTTTCAGAAGAAAGTGACAGCAATAAATGCTTTGATCCATGTTTAGCTGATTCTATCGCTGATGAAACGGTTTCACTTGATGATGGTATAACTGTTTTGGAAGCATCGGCCTCAGATACTATTGAACCAGAGGACTCTAATATATGTCCTGATGAATTCCAGGGTATTTCCCTAGAAATGCCTGTTGATGGAGAGGAACTGGATATTAGTGGTATGTATTTGTTATTTAATCCTGCTTATCTCCAAATAAGGATTTGATTATATTTTGTGATGTGTTGGGATTATTCTAGATTAGAACCCAAATTATCCCCTTACTGTCATGGTCTTTGGGAAAGTCTTCAAATTCAGCTAACAACTCTCCTTCTTTTCAGATGGGGAAAGTCTTGGTAGCAGTATTGAAATGGGAAGCGACTTTGAAGTAGTTGATGAATGTGATGAAGATCAAGAAGGGAATGACAGCTGAAAATGAAAGTAGAGACAATAAACGTTACAAATTACATTATATTAGGTCACCAGAGATGTACACAGAATGGTTAAAACAATTATTAAAAGTTGGCGATCAACAACTTCAGAAAATGTCTGATGATACGTTTAGAGACTTCATGATCTCTTCCCAAAATTGGATGGTTGATGTGACTGGACTACTATTACTATATACAAAGTATGGTTATTAAAGATTGTAATATTTAGTTGCAGCCCCCCTGATTGTGTATTTCCAGAATGTGTAGCAGTATCATGCCAGAGTAATATTTCACCAAAATCAAGTTGGAACCTAATTCAGTCAACGGGTTACTCAAAAACAGTCCATTAATATAATTATGCAAAAATTCAGTAAATGGTGATGCTCTATGTTTTTTCATAAGCTGAGAACTTCAATGATATTCTGTGGTCTTGGTGATGCTGCTAAGGACATCGGTTATGATACTATGGTGGCTTATGAGGTGCATTGATGACTGGTATTGTGCCCGAAATTGAATACTTTAGTAAAATTGTAGAATGGAAAATCGCAGAGAACAATATTTGTAAATACTGTATATATGTATATATATATACATTGGATAAAATCAAATCCTAATGTTTGTGACAATAAAATCATGCTCATGCTTATTCCTTAGTCTGGGCTGCTAATTTAGCCGATTTTTTCATTAGTATTTTATTTTTTTGCAAACGGAAGAGACTTTGAAGAACCTTTTTGAGTAGTATGCAGTATCATTTAGTGGTGAACTGTCCGATATAGCCAGATATTTTTTCAAAAACTGATAATTCAAATGAAAATATTGTCTAAAAACTATCAAATAGACAGTCCAAAACATTTGATATTATGAATGGATAAACAGACAAACTTAAACAGATTGTATCTTCTTAAAAAGACAGTTAAAAACTGTTTTAATAATGTTAACGATTTGATCAGATAAAGTACACATTAAATGTACATTATGTGATTGTGAAGGATAAATGCATCCCTGAACAATTGATTGAATTTGTAAATACAGTGAAATGATCCCTAATTTTTATCTTTATCCTTTATGATTTAGATGATATGATTTTAATGCTTGACATTGTTTAATCTTGTGCATGTTTAATACAACCGAACCTTGATTTACAGAACAGGCTATATGTGGTTCCAGGCTGTGGGCCTGGATACTGACAGCTAAAAGATGTACAGTGTTCAACCAGTAGTCAGTAATTAGGCAAAGAAATTTTCTAAATGGGAATTTATATACATGTACTAATCATGAATCCTCCTTCTGGTCCCAAGTCTATAAAGCAGTTTTTGCTTTACTCATTTTACTCAATCGATAGATATTCCTTCGAGAATGCTATGCTAGGTTATTGGTGGAGTTCCAAATTCCATGTGGTTTATTAAACCAGAGCATTTATGATAATTCCTATTCAGGTCCGAGTTCCAAATTCCAAGTGCAGATATAAAAAAAAACAAGTGTTCTAGTCCCCAAACAGGATCTGCAAGGCAATCATAGTTTATATATTCATAGCTTTTGTATTGTTATCAGTTTTTGTTATTGTTAGTTGTGCTCTGTATATATTAAAATAAAATAAAGAGAAGCAGAGAAAAAGATTGGTTTTAAGACACAGAACTGCCAACACAACCGTGGTCCAGCTTCAGGTGCAACAGTCCCAACAGTGTCGCAACAGACTTGATGCAGCAGAAGTTACTCCATGGCCTGTCCCCTTTTGACATGGTGCCATTCAAACTAGATCTGTCACATGGACTCAGAATCCGACCCCAACCCCTCCCAGTCTGTCCTATTTAACACATTTTATTTTCAGTTATTATCAAGCACGGATCCGTCTTCATTAGCCCAGTCGGAGTAGGACGTTAAACCCCATTTAATTTCATTTAAAGCACAGATATGCCCCAAAAACTTGTAGCTCACGGGTTTGATTTTGGTGCAGGCCTAGAAAATTCTTTTGGATTTTACATTCTGGTTCCCCATGGCACTGGGCAGTTGAATTATCAAGTAAAAAGCGCCCAGTCTTTCTTACGGGACAAAAAAGTGCGCTCGCAAGTGTGCATTTTACAGAACCCGTGACAGTTGGAATTCGACGAATAGTAGTTGCAAACGTGACAGACCGATCATAGCAATCTGTCATTAGCTACGTTGGTGCAGGAAAGTGAAGTTATCACATTAAAATACTGAATCGGTTTTGAATAACTAACATTAACCTTTTAGACTTGAGGATGTCTTAGTGGACGTTAGATCCCATTTCATTTCATCTCTTAGTTTTGATGTCTCTGCTGTGTATTAAATGCTTCATGTCAACACCAATAAGGCTTTAGAGACTTGTATCTTTACCAGGAAGATTTCTTTTTAATGGGCACATCTTTGAAATTATTTATATGAAACCCGAAAGGGTAAAACCATGAACAGACATTTAGTTTAAATAATACTGAAAAAAAACCTTTACGAAATATCGGAGAGCGAGATAACCGTACATACCATACAGCTAATTTAAATGAACAGACTAAAGCATGGCCAAAACTGGTTCAAATGGATGACCTGGAAATCATATGGACGAACTGTAAAAAGAAAAATGCAACATTTCAAGTTAGAAATAAATCTGAAAGGTTCATGAACTAAATAAGTAGCCACTAGAGTTCAAGACGGACCCGTGGCCACGTGGGAGGGGGGGGGGGCTTAGCCCCCCAATATTTTGCCAACAATAATATTTTCTTAGGAGCGTTGTTCTTAACCGGCCACGTACTCAGCCCCACAAAAAAATTCCGAAGCCCCACCAAATTTTAAGTGCTGGCTACGGGCCCGGTTCAAGAAAATATCCATATGTAATTGTTTACCAGTCTTAATCGGGCATTATTAGAATTCTTGCAACGTCCAGGACACTGCATTAGTAAATTTGCTTACTTTGAATGCTTATTGTCTTCGAACGAGATGAAGAGACGACCCAAACGTTCATAAGCCATAATTGATTAAAGGGACGTTACTCTTAAAGGTTACTTAGGAGTCAGACTGGCTGTTATAACACTTGCTAAATGGCTTAACATAATCGGTTGCAATCTGTTTCACAGAGATCTTTTAATATCTGTTACAGATGACTGTTTCGACACGTAACGTAACATCACGCGGCGTCAATCATCGGCTCAATAGCGCGTGCATTGTTTACGTAAGACGTTACTGATTCGGGCTAAATGGTGAATTTTACTTATTTTAATACCCTTTTACACTAAATAGGAAATTATTTTTACCTACAAACAATTCAATTATTTATTTTTCTAATAAATGAAAAGAATGTTTTACAATTTAATTTGACGGAAGAAAAAAGTTAATATTTGGGACTCATTTAGTCGCATCGATGTCATACTTATCAGTGATTGTCGCGGCCTAGCGAATATTCACTGCTGATCAGTGTGAATCGGTTGAGAATCTTGTTTCAACATTCCGTTAGTACCAATCTTAATATGCACAAATGGAACACCAATTTTAATTCTGTCAAAGTTTTGAAAGATTTTATTTTTAACGATATAGATTTTTTATGTGGTTGATTTGATATTCAATTGTGTCAAATGTCGTTGTCTATTATGGAATAATGACCAGTCATATAACCTGCCTTTTTGTAATGGCGATTTTTTTTCCTTCTGAATATGCCTTCACTATTTAGAAACGTAACTTGGGATTAACACTGATTATGATAATATCCTCGGCAATATTCCCTATTCTTCATTTATTTATCTCCCAGAACAGTGGTGGGGGCCGTAAGTACGACTAAAAAACGGTAGGTGCGTGGGCCGATCATAGGACAATTAAAATGTAGCTATTATTTTATAAACATTTTCCCATAGCTCGGCTCACCTGTCGTTTATACATATAAAATATACACACGGTAAGCTTCTAAGAAGTTTAACTTTGCTTCTTTACACTAGCTTTGCTTGACCTGTTGGGACGCATGAATATTCAATAAAATATAAAATCTCAAACGACACAATCAACGTGTCCTTTATATATAAATACGTATAAAGTATATTTGTGTATATCAAGCTTCAAAGAGCTAGAATTAATAGCACTTTTTAGTCCACTTTCCGTGGAGTCCCAAATTATTTTTTTTTTTTATCAACTCGGCAGGGATGGGGGGGGGGGGCGAATGGTTAACGTGTGCGCGCGCTGTATCATAAGGTCTCACTGAGTCAACTGACGTGATTTCGATACCCGGTTGTACGTGACAATGAGTTGGGTCGCCTGTCCAACCTCGTGGGTTTCTCCGGTTTCCTCCCACTGCTAAAGACCCCTACGCGCAAGCTAATTATTGAAATAAAATTGAACCATATGTTAATCCCGAAATGACCTAGTTTGTGTCGAGTGTACGTTAAACCCACTTTCTCTCTCTCTCTCTCTCTCTCAGCTCTGCAAGAATCTAGTTTGTAGCGCCACCCCTTATTGAAAATTCTTGTATGCGCTCCTGCAAAACCCGTGTAGGCCTATATATATATCGTTTTTCTTTTTTATACGCTAGCTCACATTAAACTATTGTCGTTATCCGATCTGCCCGTCATCCACGATTACTGACAGACGCTCTAGAGGCTTTAAATTTATACACAGTGCTTAAGGTCACGCGACCAAGAATCCTATTAACTTTCAATTCTTTCCGACAATTACGACCCTCAAGTTCTGGCCCCCAAGACCAGCGTTATCATCCGATAAATATATCCGGTGTTTATTTAAAGTCGAGAGACGGTGACTTTAACAGCTAAATTCATGATAGATATCACGTTTTGTATTATAAACGTTGGCATCGATAGAACTGGCAACCGAATAAACTCGAAGGATAGCTTACTTAACCCTTGTCGGTGCACGTGGGGTCTCCGTGTACCCCATGCACATGTTTAATTGTGTTTTGTAATAACTACTGGGCGATGCTTTCTGAAATTTAGTGACTTTGTCTCCTATACATTTTTACACGTAGCAAATAGATCGGTATTCATCTGCTTCCCACATGCAGAGTTATGTTACATGCAAATCAGACGCAACGCTTACCTTGCCCCCCCCCCCCCCCCCCCCGATGGCTGACTCGAATTCCAATCAATCGTTTACAGTCCACGAAGACGGGACCGTGTGGAGAAAATTTAACTGCCACAAACGCGTTTTCCTGTTATTCCAGCTGGGTTCGGGGGTATACCCTCCCGGAGAAAATTTTGAAAATTTAAACACCGCAAATGCGTTTTCTGCTATTCTAGCACGTGTAAACTCCAAAAGTATCCCACTCTGAATTCCAACCATCCAATCAGACTGTTGCAGCTGCATTCACAAATAATAATCGATGCCCGAAAAATGTCGCACAAAGTAGAGTGATTCCATAGTCAACTCTGTACAAATTCGTGGTATTCAATTAAAAGAAAAGTAGAATTAGTGCTATATTAGGGCTCGATAACAGTAAGGGAAGCAAAACTAGAAATGCCCGAAAAAATTTCGGGTTTACAGACAACGGCGCCGGTTTTCTTCGAGAGGCGAAGAAGCGGAACTGACCTTGTATGGACCCCGCAAGAAAATTTTGGAATATTTGACAGCCGCAAACGCGTTTCCTGCTATTCCAGCCCGTAAAATTAGTGTTTTATTAGATTTCGGGAACTTTATTTTTCCAAGTAGATGAAATATTTTTTTTTTCACTTTACCCGTCTGCCCGAAAAGTCAGCTTGCCCGAAAGTTAGGGGGCAGCTGCTGCCCCCTGGCTCGTACGCCTATGGCTAAAGTATTCTCTCTTTTATCATCTGCATGCTACAAATACCAAAAATTAAATGATGAATTCCAAATATTCAGTGTTTTTTGTATCAAGCGTGAATTGCCATTTAACCTCATTATCACATAGTACACAAAGTAAGAATTTTGTGAATATTATTAAATCTTTTCCATATGTCACTAAAATGTTTTTGGATAATAATTTAGTTGTTTTACAGATGTCAAATATGAATCCAAATAAAAACCAACCCGCTGCCTTTTAATTCAAATATATCTGAAATAAAAACTTTGAATTATAACTGGGGTCCATATGGATCCCCATGTTCCTGAAGCAACGACTGCGAGTTTTACAACATCTGGCCGTTGCTAGATTACTTCACAATTCTCGAACTTAGTTAAAGCGAGATCAAGCCTTCTATTGAAAATGATAGCCCCCTTGATATCTGCTGTGTGATTCGCATAACGTGCACCCACAAGGGTTACACATACATTATGCAAGAGCTAAATCTGCCTATTGCAGATCTTTCTTAGGCCTGAAATGCTTTCTAAATTATTAATTAGTAATCAACTCTCGATGGCATCGGATTTCTCTGATATCAAATAGATTAGAACGGTTCAGCCTTATTTTGATTTAATTTAAAAATGGAGGAGCGGGACTTAGCTTCGTACAACCAGTACGGTGGTTGCAATTATTTCACACGTCTGGTCAAACCTTCAAAGGCTAATATCTTCGCTCGCAATAGAGTAATTTGAATGAAATTTTCAAATTATTCATTTTACATTATCTATTTTCGAACTATTATAGCCAGAATGGCTAGCTCTTTATCTTAATTTTACATAATGTATGTTTAATGATTTGTTAT